AATATTGAATTCATCCAAGGCAATTTCAGTTATTCCCAAAAGCCTCCAAGTGACTGAAGGTGAAAATGCTGTGCAAAAGCCTAGAAAATTGCCTGGAATCAAAATGAGCACAAAGAATTTTTAAGAGAGGGTAACTTTCAGAAATCCTCTCTTCTTAGCACTCACCCTTAACCATTAAGTTTTAGGCAGGGCTCTTTCATTTTAGATCTGCTTTGGAAATGAAGGGTAAGAATTCAGACAATGGAAGCAAATCCTAAATTATGCTCTCCAAGCATTCTAAGTTTCCATCACACAATTATAATTTTACCTAACACACTATCTTTAGAAATACAAAGAAATCAATTTGACAGTTTTACTCCAATATATAAAATAAAATATTCCATGTCTGTTTTTGAGTATATGGTGCACCTAGGTATCTGGTGCTGAAGTGCTGAGAGAATTATGAGTATCCGCCTTGCTGCCATGCTATTCTGTTTAATGGTAGTGTATGCTCAGAGTGTGGAACTCATCTTCGGGTGACGAGCTCGCTGCTATGTATAATGCACAGCCAAACCTCTTATTTGAGCCATTTCTGAGTATTAGAGAATCCTGAATCTGTAGACTTAAGCAACTGCAGTTCAAAAGCGTTTGGGAGATTTTGTACTCTACTCAACAGGCACTGACTTCTTTTCTTGTTGTTATTCCATAAAAAGTGCAGCATGCCATCAATTTGCACAGCATTTCCATTATGTTAAGATGATAAGCAATCAAGATATGACTTAAGAAATCAAAGTTCAAGGCAAATAATGAGCCATTTAACACAAAGGCTTGGAGCTTCCGCACTTGGTATTTACGGGAGTCCTAGGGCCAAATCCCCTTTGGACACCAAGAGTTGACACTATTTCCTTGAAGACTGCTCTGTTCGCCATCAACCCTTATTCCAGGAGGAAACTGTAGAGGAGACTTAACTGAAATTATTTGGCCTTACAAAATGTACTTGTGGGCTTTTGCATTCATCCACTCTAGAGCTTGTGTGTGCTTGTAGAGAACCATACATCACTTGAAGGGATCTGTTTGTAAGCTCCCAGGTGACTCTAACACATGATGCCCTGCCTCTGGGCTCTCATACTGCTAGCCTTCTGAAGGTTAGGTTTTGCCTCATTTGTTTCTTAGGTGGTTTTGTTTATGAATCTGAAGTAGGCTAGCTAGGTAGAGGGAAAAGAGAGGCCTGCTGCCTGGTGGCCGGAGGCAATGCAACCACAGAACTGTGGGACAGAGCTGGGTGTGATGGGGTTGCTCAAACAGTAAAAACCAAGACTATCCAAACTGGCTGTGACCAGCACAACTGGCCAACTGCCCCACTAACTGTTCCAGAATTGGATGTTCCCATCATGCATCTGATGCTATGACTCACCCCCCCCCAAACTTCCTATAAGGATAGAAAAGTATTGTAAACCCTATTTCAGGAAAATCCCACCCCTTTCCTGGAATTCCTAACCTTATTTCATGAATAATTCTCTTTTCTATAAATGTTTTTCTATAAGATGGAGTTGTCCAAAATTCTGGTACTGCTGTATTCTCCCAAAAAGGTCCGCTTCCTCTTGGGGGGATTACTTTTGTTTTGTAAGAGAATTTCCTCCTTATTGTAAGTCTTTGCTATTTTCCCCTCTGTGAATTATTTCTCTGATCATGATAAGAAGTGGGAAGCACTGGATAGAGGTGCCAGTTTCATCTCTGAGACCTTCCTAGTCTTCACCAGCCATAGCAATGTTGCTGTTTGAAATGCTCCCATGTGTAGTGACAAAATACTGTCTAATATCCAAACGCAGGGAAACCTTCTACAGAAAGTATGCATATTAGACTTTATGTAAACATGACTTCAGACATTCACAATGGACTGTGATTTCAGTGGAAACTGATCGGTGATGTTTATTAAACAGGACACCCTTAAACAGAAATACACATGGAACAGGTTTACATATTGATTAATGAACTTTTTTCAACTTGAGTTCACAACAATACTATGGTGGACATGGAAAATTTGCAGGAGTATACTATGATGAATGATGAAAAACCTCTGTAATTATTTCCTTTTACTTTTTTATTCCCATAGTGACAGTAGCAATCTAGTCTCAATTTAAAACTCATAAAGCTGTATGTATATTTATGCACATATATGCATATCTCTCTGTGTATGTGAGTTGTGAACTGCTGGCATCATCAATCCATAATACCGATTCCTCTTTGGAGAAAATTATATATATGAACAAAGCAGCTTTCCCTATTTTAAAACCATAATTCTCTTTAGGTGATGGTTACCTATGATATTTCAACGGAGAATCTTTGATCTAGAATAGAATCCTCATTTATTTCTTACATTCCTTAGAACAGAACTTTATAAGAATCCTACTTAAGATTTGCTCTTTTGTGATGTTGTGGAATGATGATGGTCCTGAGAAAAGAGACAATCACATCCCTGGGACTACAGTTACTTTTTTTTTTTCTTGCTGTATTTGTTATAGCTATCTATGGTTCACTCAACATACTAAGCTATCCTCGAAGATACCGCCTCCATCACTCCAGCAGCTGGAGCTATTTGACCAGGTAATTGTTTGTTGTTTCAAGCAGGTGGGTGTTAGTGAGGTCTTCTCATTACTTCCTGAACTCATTATTGTACTTTTCTTTCCTAACACAGTGACAAAGTCCCTGAGATTATCTGGGACACTACAACCTCCAGACACCCAGCTAAATATGCTCAGCCACCTAGGCACAGTTTCTTAAACTTCATAGGTACCCTGCCAGCACTTCATCTGTCAATGAACTGCCTATTTTTCCGTTTCACGTTCTTATTCCCAGAAGGTTATCTGCCCTTGGAATTAAGCACCTGTCTCTGCCACAGGTGGGTGTTTGGGTTGACCTTTTAAATCCAACTGCTTTTGTCAGAACTTTCAGTACAGAGAATAAAGCATAATGTCATGTATGTTCTCAGTGAAAGACAGAGTCACCATGTGTCTCCAAGTGAACAAGTGAGAGGTAACGCTTTTGAAAAGAATCCACCCAGCCAGCAGCATCCTCAGCACTGTGAAAAGACCAAACTGCCTGCCTTGGTTGGTTCCTGTGCTACTGGCTGTCTTTATAGAACATAAAAACCAGAGGGGATGGCTAATAAGGAGAAAAGACTCTTGGATGCTTTGGCAATTGTTTCATACCTTTTAAACCCAGAAACCCACCCATAAATTTGGGGTATTTTGTTATATCAGTATTACTACTGTAAGTGAAGATTTCTCTGTTGTTCTAGCAATAGAATTAACTCAAACAATCAATTTCTATCCTAATAATCAGAAAATTACGTGAGCTAAGTGACATCCAGGGGTGTTGAACTAATGAATATCTTCTCTTGTGTAAGCAATTGATTTTCTGTGTATTGGTTCACTTGCCTAGCATAGATTACCCCCCACCCCCACCCTGGTTCATTCTATTTCTTTCATTTTATGATTCTGTGATTCTTTTTTTTTTTTCTCCAGGAACAATGAACAACATATTTTCCTTATTGAAAGCCATCTTTAAATTGCAGCTTTACCTGTGGGATGAGCCTGATTTTTAAATCTCTCATTTGAATCTCTGTGCTGAATTACAGCAACTCAATATTTTAAAGCATACATTTTCCTATTGATCTCCTTCCTGTGATTTTCCCCCTGCTGTTAACCTTCCTCTCAATAGATGGTGCTCTTTTCTCAGAGACATATTCCTCACCCAAAGATCAGAGAAATCAGTTTTACTTTAAACAATCATTAATTAAAGAAATCAGACAAGCAATTTGCAGTACCTTGGGAACAAAGGCGTAATGAGGGAAATGATCTTGCAATGCCTTGAGCGCTCTGTGGAAGCTGTGTCATGTCATGTGGGCTGAATAGGTGAAGCAAATATTGTAACTAAACCTGAACAGTGCCATGTTGATGATGCCACATAACCCCACTGGGAAGAAGGACTCAAATCAGGAGCCATTTTAACATGCTGGGATATCCATCTACTTTACCAAAGTGCATACATGAATATTCCACACTACCAGGCAGAATCTGAACATGTTACTCAATATCACCATGCTCAACATCACTCTCAGTACTGAGACCCGGCTCAGCCTTTGCCAAATTCATCTAGAACACCCCAAACAACAGAAAGTCGACCTCAAACTCTTTGGAAGTAAGGTAGAGACACTTTCCTCTCCAGACCATCCTGAACAGCTCCCAGCAATGCACAATGTTGCCTGTTATTATAATCCCCAATTGACTCCCACATCTGCAAGCACTGAAAAATGGTTATGCCCTGTAGATGCCCTGAACTACCCAGCAATTCCAGATGCCACTCAGGGCTCTCTGAGCAGATCTGCAGGAAGACAGTGCAAAACTGGGTTTAACATCACAACAGTGTGCATGCTACATCCAAGCCACTCTGCTCTGGAAAGATTCCATGAAGGCTCCCTCCACCTGGGGCAGCCTCAGGATGGAAGGAGAGTAAGATGAAGAGACCCTGGGCCCAGCACAGGGTGGGGCTGTGGTCCAGCCTAACCCTGCTAAGAAAGTTAGTGAGTTCATCTCTTTAACCTACTGAGAAGCCTCTGCCCTTCAATTATGGAAAGCTAACTAGATTTTTCCTCTCACTTTTCACAATTCAGTCTTCTTACAGCTCATGCAGGGGAACGACCGATTGTAAGGCATGCTTCAAAGACCCTGTTAGTTTAGAGCAAGAAGGGTATCTAAGATGGAGCCCCCTCTCCCATCCATATCTTAAAAGCTTTGCCCAAAGAAACTTCTTGGTCTCGGAATTTTGAACACTGCTTTATCAAGGGAGGGAGGAAAACCCAGAACAGTAAAAATTCACACGCAAACAGCAAATGGCTCTGTTCAAGTCACCCACCTCTTTGTACCCTGTTTACTTCTCCCCGGTTACTCACAGAGTTTGACTCCTTACCCACCCCCCCCCCAACCCCCTTTACGGAGCTCAGGCGCTCAGGGCATCCTTACCTGACTATCACATACATGACCAGGAAGTTTCCGAAGAGGCCCACTACGCACACGATGGAATAGAGGGCCATGATGGTTATTGCTGTGACCATGGAGGGACTGCCGGGAGAAGGGCACAGGCTGTCGCTCCCGCCAAACCCGGTGCGGTTCAGACCGCATGGGTCGGACTGGTTGCCATCTACATGGGACAAGTTGAGCCAGGAGGCAGGTGCTGGGGAGCAACTTGCGGGAGCCAAGGGGTCAGAACAGTCGCTGCTGTTTCCAGGGCCGGCGCGGCTGTCCATGGTGCTGAAGGCCTGCTGCGGGCTCGATGTGGACAGTAACTGAGAGCTCCAAGACTTTTTGGGTTTCACGATCCCCAGCCTCTTCCTCTTCCAGCTGCCTCAGCTCTGTCAGTTTCTTACACAGACCAGCCCTGGCGGAACCAGAGGAGAGCGTCAGCCAGCCAGAAGGGAACGCCTGAGCGTCTGATATTCTCCTCTGCTTGTAGCCCCCTCCCACCTTAGAAGTACACTGAGCAGTCCTGAGCATCCCAAAGCATTGCTCGCTGGGTGGAAGGGAGGGGGCACAGTGCGAGGGATCCAGAGGCTGGAGAGGAGGGAGGAGAGAGAAGGGGTGGATTTTGCGCAAAGCAACTCAGAGTCAGTCTCCCTGGTCTCCATGCTCTTCCGAGCAAAACGAGTGTAAAGTGGAGTAGGACGGGGCAGAAGCAGGGACATGGCAGACAAGGGTGGGGAGAGAAGCGGTTAAGTTTATTTGTGCAACAAGGATGCAAAAGGTAGAGGGTTCCAATGCCTATTTTCACAGCGCTGTTTCTCCTTTGCTAATCAGTCAGGAAAGTCGTTGATCTGTTATAATCTCGGTGACCCTTAAACCCCAATATTCTTCCTACTCAACTCTGCAATGCAAGTATTTGGGGCTGGAGACTCACTATTGTTGTTTTTCTTTACTTAGATCAACATATCTGAAGCAATATATATATATATTTAAGTTCTTTAACTTTTCAACCCTACAAATCTATTCAAAGCAACAACAATCTTTCTCTGAAAAAGAAAAAAAAATTGCGAAGGAAGCCCATTTCTCACGCTCCCCATTCTCTCAATGAATCTCGGATTAGATGGTCCCTTTGCATCTGAATTTGCCCCAGTAAAGAGGGAGCGCAAGAGCATCTTACAGAAATGCGGGAGGAGGGGTGATACCCCATAAAATGCACTAATGATCACACTGCAGGGGCCACGGGCTCTTTTGAGGGACATAGCCCAAACAAGAACTCTGAGGAACAATTTTTGATCTCATATCTAAGTTCACAAGTGCTTCTGAAACAATACAATTTTAAAGCTAACACTAGTGTGTTTTCCTCTTTTCATCCCTTGGCATGCATGTGCTTGTGCGTATCTATGGTTTTAAATTATAAACATTGAAATTAAACGGGCTTGATTGATTATAGAAAGTTCAACTCTATTCTCTCAGACTGTGGAAAGCAAGCTTGGAAGGAACACATAATTCCAATTTTACTTTTAGACATTTATCTTGAAAACAGATAACTCACAGCTAGACAATTAATCATGGACTTTTGACCAATGTTCAGTATTATTTTTACTCTTTTCCATTAAAGGGTATAACTTCAGCAATAATGTAGACAAGGGTTCCCAGCGGCTGATAAGATGCCTTTAAATACATTCTCCTAGGGATAAATGTGTCAGTTCACTTAGTTGAGATGAAATCTGTCTGCTGCTCATTCATCACTCTCCCGAGGACACAGAACCAACGCCACTTCCTCTATGTGAAAGACAATCAGCATATGGCGGTTATTGCTGCCTTTGCTGTCAGATTGTTTTGTGATATGGTCCTGTCATCTCTAGCAGTTCGAGTTTGGATATGTTACTTTACCTTATTGAGATATAGTTTTCTTCTCAGAGTAAAAACATGAACTTTATTTCTAGGGCTGGAGAGATGACAGAGGTTAAGAGCACTGGCTGTTCTTCCAGAGGTCCCAAGTTCAATTCCCAGCAACCATATGGTGACTCACAACCATCTATAATGAGATCTGGTACCCTCTTCTGGCCTGCAGGCATACCTGGAGGTAAAATGTTGCATTCATAAATGAATAAATAAATCTAAAAAAAAAAAGAACCAGAACTTTATTTAACTATATGTTCTCATCTGAGATCAAAATTTCCCTTTTAATTTTGTTTCTAATGCTTCACAGAGAGTAATTATCATCTTCCAATTACTCCAAATGCAACATTTCCTGAACTCCATTTTGCATCTTCATCTATCTATTTCCTGTATGTTCTATTCATTCAACACACACTTAGAGAAAACACAGACAAATAAAACTTATCTGTTAAAACACAAGCATTAAATTAGCCTTGACAGGTCTATTGAAAAGATACCACTCAATAGACTATGAAAAGGACCCCAAGCTCAACTCCCACTGTTTCTTAGTTATCATTTTCTTTCTCAGTGATTTGAAGGTCTTCCCGGAAGCTTCAATCTCCCAAAAACAGAGGGAGACTATTCAAAATGACTCAGCAAACTGAAATCCTAAATATTTTATACAGCCCAGATTACCCATGAGACCTTTAATTTCCTAGAGCTGTAGTATGTTGTCTGTGGGGATATTTGCCTTTTCACTGATGTTTCTTGCTGAATCTTGGTTTTCCATTTGAATCAAGGATAATTTATTATCTACTGGTCTAGATTTAATTTATATAATAAAACTCATATAAGAAAACACTTTTCATGAGATTGTTTGTTTCAAAGAACTGCATTTAGTCACCATATGGATGGATCTGGCAATGAGCTAAGAGTTGTTCCTCTTTCTTCGATTTCAGCGTCTATTGACTTTAGGTATTCATATGATGGCCATCGATGCACACTCATTTTAATAGTTTAGTCATGATTGTTTTCTAGAGTGATTGTTAATGGAGCACATGATTAACAGCTGTTAATGAAAGCCAGAATCATAAATACTATGTATAGACTAATTACAATGGTTAGAAGCTCAAAAAGGAAGGTCATACATATAGGTCTTCATCAGGAGAGCATGTAATGTGCTTTGCAGATGTAGCTTACTACTAACATTTAAATGTGTGCACCTATTAAGAAGGCAGTTGAGTTTTGATACAGCATTACTTTAGACTGCGTGACCCTTCAATAAAATAAAGAATCCTTGGTTTAGAGTTTAAAGAACAAAAAGCTAAATTAAAAAGAAAAACTCTTCACCAGTTTCCATGTGATAAACCTAAAAGGATACTTGAAATAGAACCAGTAAAATCCCTGAACTTTAATATTTAAAAAGTAGCCCCAAATCCAGACTCTACTGCCCATTTTCTTGAGACTTCCATTCTTTATGCTTCCTGTTAGTTGGTTCCTCTTGTGTAAGATGAAAGAGTGAGAATCAACAAAGCACTTTCCCACAGATTACATGTATCTAAAGGGCATGCCCTTTGTCTTCAAGTTCATTGTCAAGAAGAATTCTTGCAGCTATTACAGGGTATTTAATGGCACAAACTTATCCTTAAGCATTTTAAAAAAATCTTTTTAAGGGCCTGAATGTTCTAATAACAGTTCAGCTGCCAGCCTTTCAAATCATTATTGTAAACAACTAGCTTAAGTAATTAATTCATAGGTCTGTGTGCTTTTTTTAAAGTCTGGAAGCTCAATTTTTTTTTTTTTTAAAATTGGGTTTTAGTTTTCAGTTTCTGGCAGTAGAGGCTTACGTCTCTTATTTTATTCCTGAACAGCAGTTAGTCTTTGTCAGTTTCTCTTAAAAATTAGTGAGCACTCCAGAAACTTCTGTTTATGCAGGTGTTATGGCTTGAATGCTAAGTATACCACATCTGCTCAGGTGTTAGCATCCTTGGTCCTTGGCTGTTGACACTGTGGACCCTGCAGCAGGTGAGGTGAAGCTTTGCTGAAGGAAATGGGTCATGAGGCGTGGTCTTGGAGGTTTTACAGCCCAGCCTGACTTTCTGTCCACTTGCTGATGTTTCATTGCAATTGCAATGTGACTAACTGCCTCACTCCTGATTACCATGCTTTCCTTGTCATTTAGACCTGTTTCCCCTCACGCTGGAAGTCAGAATAAACACTTCCTTATAAAATTTGCAGCTTACCAGGTACTTGGTTGCCGCAATGAGAAAAGTAACTTGATGCACTAGGTTGCCTTTATCAGAATTCATCCCATTAGAAGTTAAAATTACAAAATTTAGTAAAATTAACAATGCAAATAGTATACAGAAAGATGAGTAATTTTATTTTAAGGAACATCTTCCCCAATTTCCCTTCAGGATCAACCAAAAAATATTTAGTAGGAAGAGTGGCGCTATGGCTGGGCCATTCCTTTAACTCTATGGTTTAAAAGCATGTGTCATGTGTTATGTTCCTGTATCTGATTATCTCTCAATCATGGGTGGTTGAAGTATATAAAGAAAACTGAAGAATATTTGCTTTTATTGTGATATATGAATAGAAAAAAGAGAAAATGTTGGTAGTCTTTATAAATAATTGTGGCTACTTTCCTTTGGTACTGAACTCAGTTAGTACCATGTCTTCATGTCTTACAGGGAAGTTGGGTAATGGGAGTTGAAGCCACATCAATGATTCCTAGATCCTGTAGTACTTGCAGATTTATCACCTGCTCTCTTATTTTGAGTGAATAGTCTACTTGATCATGACTTTGTAATATTGCCCAAGGGTCATTTGGGACTATTAGGTCAATGCATCCTATCACTTTCCAAATGCCAAAGGACTATATTCTGCTAATGACTATCCATGCTTGTTAGTGCCCCTGGCTGTATAGGAGAAAGTCTCAATATTGTGATGCTGTCAATCTCTTTTTATTTTTTTAATTTCCAGTTTTGTTGGGAAGCCAGAATTTCCTCATTGATAATCAACACTTTCAGTCATACCAGAGGGAGGTGATAGACTAGCAGTCTTCATTTTAAAATAAAGTATCGGCCAAACATATGATTCTAAGTCAGTGTACACATCTGTCTTTCAGTCATTCTTCAAATAAAAATAGTATCCCATGGGGAAAAAAATACATGGTTCCCACTACAACTGTGATGACCACACAGTTTTTCTTGTGAGTGGCAACCCTCTGTGACTTGTTGTTGGCAATGTGTTCTATGTATACTTCCTATTTCCACACACAGGACGTCAAAGGGCAGGATCTACCCCCCCCCCCCCGTGTGTGTGTGTGTGTGTCTGTAAGTTATGTATGTGTAGTCTACGCACACATGGTGTATTTGTAAGTGTGAATATGGAGAGGTCAGAGGAAGATGTGGAGTGTCCTCTTCTGCTTTATTGTCTTGAGACAGTCTTTCACAGAGTCTGGAACTATGCTGGAGGCCGGAAAGCCCCAGCAATCCTTCTATATCTGCGCTCCACAGTGCTGGGATTACAGTACTTGAATGGCCACACCCAGCTTTTTTTTGTGGGTTCTAAGGATTTGAACTCAGGTCCTCATGCCTGCATGGCAAGTGCTTCTACTTGCTGAGTTGTCTCTTAAGCCTCCCATGGTTGAAATTTTATAAACTTAACTTTTATTCATGCTGCATTGATACTATTTATCCCTTGCAGGTGTTGGTGCAGGGGTAGTAAGAGACTCCCTAAACAATGAAAGCTATTGCCATCAC